TCCTTGACAAAATAATAAAACAACTTGCTTTTAATGATAAACAAAAGCTGTATTTAATGAATATTTCTTGAGTCAATTTGATTCTGACTGTCAGAATCTCTGCAATAACATAATGAAATATAGCCTCTGTTAAAAACCTGGCCTGATTATTTGTACATCTGGAGCATATATTGACTACATGAAACAACATTAAGAGAAAATGTCCAGATTTGTATTTGTTGCTGCGTCATACAGACACATTTTCCAAGTTCTTGTGATAGTAAGTGATGAATTTAAGGAAAGTCATGTCTTGTTTTTTTAGAAATCTTAAACAGGGTGAAAGAAGTGATGCCGTAGAGACACATTGCATTCATCCAACATGGAAGGAAGAAGCTGACCCTCGCTGCTCACACCCTTCCTCCCCACACCCCCACCCCGTCACTCTGTTCCATCCAGTTGAATTACATGTTTCCCCGTTTGCGCATGGATTTTAAATGGGTAGACCTGTGGTCATGCATATGCTCCCAGTTGTTGGGTTAAGCAAAATGTGGGCCCATAAGAAGAGACAGAGGGGGAGCTTGTTCCACAAATCCTGCGCTTTTTTTTCCCCTGGAAGCACTTTGTTTGCGAGAAATGTCACAGAAGCTAAATCAAGCCGAGCCATAGCTATGAGAAACAGACAGAGCATATGGAGGACGGATGGTGTTTGTGTTTGTGTGTGTGTGTGTGTGTGTGTGTGTGTGTGTGGTGAAATGATGTGGATGCATATGAAGGAGAAACATTTGATATATCCACAGTAGAACTGTTGCTCTAAATGTTTTATAGAAGAAGAAAGACCTAGAGAGAGATCAAGGCAGATGGAAGGGGAAAGAGGAAGGTTGTGTATTTGTAATTTCTAATGCACAGACACACTTGTACACAGAACCCTGCTATCATCTGATGACAATATGGTTGTGGGAGCAAAAAGCCAACTTTTAGGGGCTTCCTGTGAAGACATAAGCCCCTTTTAATCTGCCCGTTCAAGGCCCGATATTTACGGGCGTCTCATCTTCACTATGAATGTCCCAGAGGCGTAATCGGGGGGGGATGACTAATGGGGAGGTAACAGAGGCGATGCAGGGGTGAGACAAGATCAGCAGAGCCAGGGGGAGGATAACAGCGCTGTTTGTGTATGCATGTCTGAGTTTTTGTGCATGTGGAGCTCCTGCTGTTTCTCTTCATGTTGTGACTCCATAACGCAATGTGAATCCACAGTTTGGGACACCAATATTACGCCGTTGCAGAATCAAGATGAATGTACGACGACGTAATGACGGCGCAGCTTTGTTTCCGGCGCTGTTGTGGAATTGCACCCAATAAAAATGAAGCTAAATTGTTGTTAGGTGACAGTCAACAGCTTTTTTGGATTTCATTACAGTGTATTACATCCTGTCCCTTTGCCTTTACTGTTTCTGCCTAAATACTGGTCTGCAGATTTTGATCAGCTCTAAACTGAAACTGCATTTTCTGTTATAAAGATAGATGCACATAATTTAAAAAAGGATGCATTGCATTGTTTGTGGGTCAACACCACTCACCTCAAACTAATCTATTTCAAGAAACTTACTCGTGCAGAGAAACACTGTCAAAGAAGATTCAAACTTGAGATTCTTGAATAAGGGTCATTCTGAGGCTGCCTAAAACATCCCACGTAAGGATTAGTGAATGATGCAGAATCTAGGCAGAGACCCCTGGGTTTGTTTCTCACAGCCTCAGGTTTTTTAACTTTCTCACAAACACATAAACACAGTAAGAGTATTCAGGGAAAAGATGGGCCTGTTGGCTGACTGCCTGTTCAACTTTAGACCGCATGATTTTCAACTCCATCATACAAAAGAAGTTCAGGGTTGGCTTGAGACACAGCGCTTCAGGCGACCATCTATATGAAGGTCATTATGCGAGTGTGTGATTGGGTCACTCTAGGGAACCATTTACGTGCTCATATTCATAATTATGTTGATTGATACTGATTGAACCTGCATGTGTACAGCACTGAGTCTGTGCGTCCCTCAGAGCTATCTATGAACAGGATGTCAGTCTATTTCCCAACTGAAAGACTATGTGGAGGTCCATCTTTCTTTGGGGTTTTTCAACACCTGTCACAGTGAAGGACAACATCCGTGTTCGTACTTGTCCTCTCATTTCTGCATCTTGCAGCTTCTTTTTGTTCTGTTTCTGTTAACTCCACCTTATTTTCAATCCTCTATGTCTGCTGTTAAAGCATCCTCCCATTTTTAGAATCCCAAAAAACAACCAAACCCACACAACCCGTGCACATGTTTCTATTCTTATGTACTTGTGTGACATTTCCTGACCCCGGTTTGCCACCACGACGCAGGAAGTGACACCTTACTTAGGCTGACACCTGAGTCACGTCATGTGCCTTGTGTGTTTATGTGTTTGTTTGCCTATATGTCACAGGATATGTGTTCATTGCTCGACTGAAATAGGAATCTGAAATATACACACACACACACACACACACACACACACACACACACACACACTGTTCCCCACTGCTGCTGTTTTTCCCATTAATTCCATCAGTCAATACAGCCCTACATCAGCCTGTCATCGCCCGCCTCCATTCCCCCACTCAGGGCCAATCCCACTCCCACGTTTCAGTCACTCTGAACCCGCTGCTCTAAGGTTTTGGCGACTGAGCTGTCAACATGCTGACAGCCTTTCATGTCCCAAATAAAGGTATAGCAGGAATGGACCCTGGTGACCCATTACTTAGAGTACATATCCATTTTTCATGAGGTTATTTGAATGGGCAATTATTTTTTAAAGGATTGTAAGGATTGAGAAGCCATCCATTTCTCTCCACCGTCTTTTTTCTTGGACCCTTTCCTGATTTTTAAGTGCAGTAAATCTTCCTCTCTGACCCTCACTCTTTAATTTTCAGCACTCGTTGTCTCCCCTCCCCATCCTTACACTCGCTTACTCATTCCTCCCTCCCCCTTTCATACTTTTTTTCCTCTCCATCTCCCCTCAGGCTCAGGGGGAAATACTGTGTCCTTCTCTGCAGAGGCCTAACCCCCAGCAGATCAGCTCCATGCTGCTGTTAATGGCTGTGAGGGCTGAAACAGGGGAAGTAGAGCACAGTAGGGAATATGGAGACTATTAATATAAATGCTGTGGCTATGGTGTGTGTGCATGTGCGTGTGTGTGTGTGTGTGTGTGTGTGTGTGTGTGTGTGTATGTGTGTGTGAGAGAGCTGGCATATGTGTCTGAGGTTTGAGGGTGTGGAGGTGTTAAATGATCAAAATTGTTCAAACATAACTTTTCAATGAGACTCATAGTTGCACAGCTGCACTCATTCTCCATTGTTACATTTTAAATGTAGCCTAATCGTCTGCAGTAGCTATAATTGCTAAACTAAATCAGATTTAAAGTAACACTGGATTTTAATTCTCTTTTAATGGTTTGCTGTGGACGGGGAAAATCTTGCTGTTGCATGAAGATTTTCATAAAGTAAGGAACGGAGGATAAAAGCGGTCAAGGTACTCATAAGAAGGAGGTGAAGGAGCATGAGGAGCATGATTGAGCCCTTTGAAACGGTTGGCAGAATCAGGAAGTGATTAGGCCACTACAATAACCTCAATAAGGACAATAGGTAAAACATGTCTGCAGCCATAAGCACTTAGCATCAGAAACAGTATCCAGTATGGTTCCTATTTCATTAAAAGAGCAGGAGTGAGTGTGGGAGGATGACGAGCACATGGGAAGAAAGAGAAAGACGTTTTACCTACAGGAGGGTTTTTGGCCTTGAAGAAGAAAGCTGGGTTCAGTTACTCTTGTTTCAATGATAATGGAGGAAGACCTTTTGAGTCTTTGTACTCATTTTTTAAATCTGGAGGTCATCGATTTCACACAGAGACCGACAAATAAAAGCATCTCAACTCTGGCGGTCAACTGTAGATTTGGCTAGCTAGCTTGACTTTGCGTGACTTTATATGATGCAGAGCATTAACACGATATTTTAGCAGAGCTAACAGTAGTGTGAGTGACTGATGGAAAAGTGGTGGTTGGAATCCGTTGGATCACTCTTGGTCATAAGAAACACGTATAATTTACAGCTACTTTACCGATCTCCAAAACAGAAACACTTTCCTGTTCCTTATCACAAGATACTGTATTAGCCTATCAGAAGCCATTATGACGTAGGCTTAGGCAAACTGAAGGACAACCACGGAGGTAGATTCAGCAAATTAATGCTACAGTTTTAAAAATGTAAACTAACATATTTTTTTAGAAATTTACTGTCATTCATGAGTTGTCTGTATTTCTAAATCTTACACTACAATAGGTAGAAGGTTAGTTAGCTTAATGTGAAGTTTAAGAATCCAGAGCTTTGAAGATCATAAAAGCCAAAGTTGTTATGCTAACGAGGGGCAGTCAGCTATACAGAAACCCTGTATATGTTTTTATTTTTTTATTTTCAATGCTCTGTTGCACCATATCCTCAAACAGCACCTCTGGTAATTTACCAGCCAGACACTGACGTAAATCAGTGGTCTTGTAGAAATGATTCATGGTCCTTCAGCAGCATGGGGTCTGAGGATCTAGGACGGCCCTCTTGCCGGCCACATCAGATTCTGGTTCCTCTGCAGCCCTCCTGCTATTTATCACAACTTTACCAGACCTCTCCATCAAAAAAGGAATCTTTTTACCGGAAAGCGGTGGCACATGCTGCATCACGGCAGGGTCAGAGGGAGGTGACTGGATGGAGCCCAGGTAGTGAGGAGAAGGTCCACTGAACCTGATATTGAGCCAAAGAATGAGCTTTCACCTAAACGTCTAGTCGGTTGGGTCTGAGTGTGACAGGATCTTTGTTGAATGCCAGCACACACAAACTCAATGCCAGGCACAACAGATAACCAGCAGTGGTCAAACTGCAAGTGATGCTCGGTGGTTTTCTACTCATCCCTGCAGTGCTGATTTGGAGGATTTACTGCTCTGTCTGTGTGTTTTCACAGGGCCTCCAGGAAAGCGAGGAAGGATGGGAAGAAGAGGGGATCCTGGTAAGTGATGTCCACCACCTGTTTTGTTTGTTTATCACTCCTTTCTCTCTTCTTTTCCTAAAAGACATGCCTTTTTCTTCATCTCTCTGTCCCTCTACTCACACTCGTTCCTTCTTCCTGGGTGACTGGATTTGTTCGAGGGCTCGTTTAAGCGGTGACCCATGAGTCAGGTTGGAGGCTGACGGTCTGCAGTCCTCCCAGTCCCTCGCTTTTGGGGCCAACACAGCGTTAACCTCAGCCATGTGTTTGCACTAACTTTGCCCAGATGTCGGTCGTTCTCGCTGAGCGGTAGCAGCTGCCGTAGTACGAGCCTAATGAGACTGTCCCTTGCCAACATCAGTACCCACCATTATTGTTCGCTTTCTACACAGACCACAAAAACAGTCATGGGCCAGCCAAAACAGTGCAAAGACATCACTCTTTGTTACGCAAAAAATGGTAATCGTGAGAGATAGAGCGGATGTTTAATACGTTTGAGTCATCCTCATGTTGAAAGGATTTTATTTAGTGTGAATTAGATGTATTGTGACGCGACGCTGTTAGACGATTTTATCAAAACCTGCAGGACTAAAATTGTTCTGCAGGAAATGTGTCAGATGGAAATGTTCCAGTCTGTTCTGTGAGTCACTGCTGTGGAGATTAAACAGATGAGATATTCTCCTGGGAAGATGTTGACTCAGTGACAGATCACCAATGACCGTTTTTGCTCTACTAAGCTTTTCTTAAATCATTAGAAGAATTTCAATCTTTACAGTAAATTTAAAATGTCCTTTACTTTTTAATCCAAGAACCCCAACTCCATCAAGTAACAAAATAAAGATGTATATTTTGATGCTTCTCTCATCGTCAACAAACCCAACAAAACAAAGATTTCGGTGAAATTTCTGAAACGTTCTCAGTCTGTTTGCGGCTCATAATCCTGAACTCTTAACCCAAGATGGAAATCTGATTCCTACCAAAGAAGAAACATCTTTAAATGCGGGTAATAGATTTATTCTCCATTCTCAATAAGGCGCAGTCATTTTTTCAAACCTCTCAGAACTAGTTATCACTGAACGTAACTGAACTATGAGAGTAAAAATGGGTTTGTCTTTTTTCTAGTTGAAGTTATTTACAGCAGTAAATGTGGTGGACTGATCCAGTTCAATGTTGCGGTTAAATGATGAGTTTTCTGTCATATTTTGGAAACGAAAAAAGGTTTTTTTTGTCTTTTCCTGAGATTTGACAAGAAGGAAAAGTGCAGAATATCACCAGACTTTCTCTTTAAATCCCCTCATGTCTTTTAATCGATCTATAAAAAACATCAGCCGATCAAAGGCGAGTAAGGCTGGGATGTATTTTCAGTCCTTTTTACAGATTATCTTTTTGGGAAATCTTTCCATAAAGGATTCTCTCAGAATAAGACACTTATTGGCTGCTCTCACTTTGTCACAAGATGTTCTGGATTGAAGTGGTTCTGTTTAGGTTGTCTCTGTCGCTGTTTACTTTTGCGTCCTCACATTTCAGCTTGGGTTATCGTGCGGGCGTAGGTGGCATGAAGGGAACGTTGCGCAATCCTCAAGCAGATGACTCTGGGGGCAAATTTTACAAGAGAATGGGACGTTTTTCCCCGGTTTCTCAGAAAATAACAAATGAGAGTTGAGAGAGGAAACAGAAACACAAGAAACTAATAACAGGAAAGAGGCAGACAGCGCAGTAAAGCATCTGTAGCCTTGTCTGCTATGTCAACCCAACTCTCACGATTCTTTCATGTTTGTCCTTCTACTTGTTTTCCTTTTCTCTTCTGTTTACTTCTTTCCTTCTCTCCTTGTCGCTTTCTTTCTCGTTATTCTCCACACTCACACCTGTCTCAAGTTCAGTGCTTAAAGCTGGTCTCAGTGTGCATGTGTTTACCTAGCTGTCTGGCCTACGGTGGTCCGAGCGTCTAGACACAACTGAATCTGACTGACTTCATGCCTCATAAACCCCAACACCTCTCTCCTCTTCTTTCCCCTTTTACCTCCTCACCCCAACCAGCCTCGTTCTCTCTCAGCTCCTCTTGTCCCGAAAATGCCCTTTCCCTCGAATCAAATAGTTCACGTAGAGTCTGGTCATGTTGACTGTTTGTGTGTTTAAAATAGTAACAAAACCCCACAAATATTCCATGTTTCCTGAGATGGGGTCTGTTTTCAATCTTGAGTTTTTGTAGCTGTTTAGTGCCGCATGGATAATGATGAGCTGTGTTGTTCCAGAGCTGCAGCGGCAAAGCTCCAAATTGTGCCATAGGCTATAATTGTGTTAACAATCACGTAAATCAACATCATGATTAGGTTTAAATTTAATTCAGATCAATTCAAACCAATTACTGATATAAATCATTTGAGTTGCAAAATAATATGTTCACTTTGTAGGGGTTTTGGTGGTTTATTAGGACTTTTAAAAATTTTCCACTAAGAATAAGAGGAGTCCTTTAATCATTCCTGTTGTTTTTTTTGTTTGACTTAGCATAAAGAGCGGATACTTTTAGCTGCTGAGGCTCAACATCAGAGCATTTTAATCAGATGTGCCCTGAAGAAACCTCTGAGACTGATTTTTAAACACACAATACACCTTTTCCCTGCCTGTTGTTCCTCCACCTCATACGCCCGTATCTTCAGAGGAAACAAAATCTTGACATGACCTCATATCCTAATGCAAAACATGACCCGTTATCCAGAAGCCTGTTTATCATAACAGCTTCACCACAAACTCCAATGGCAGCTGCTCTAATGAGCTTGCTCTGCACCATATTTAGCTGCTTAATTACACTCATCATTTAAAGCACCACATCGCATGTTCTGCATTTTTTGTTGCACACCACTGTTCGGAGGAATTGATTGCTGCACAAAGCAGAGATCACTATCACTCACTCATGCTGTGCTTCATCTGAGATGTATAGAGTTTATTTTCTAATGCTCCATTTCCTTTTTTTCTGTTGCAGGTGCTCCTGTAAGTACAATCTCATCTCATCCAGGTAGTATCAAAAACAAATGATGCTATTGTATTTAACTTTTAAAACATGCAAACACACATGCACGTTTTTTTTTTTTAAACTACGTTTTACAACTTTTTGTCATATCCAACACTATTAAACATTCCCACAGACACACAAGCTGACACAGACTCACTGACACGTGTGCATCCACAGAGCACGACAATAAATGGACCACCTAGGGAACTGTGTGTGTGTGTGTGTGTGTGTGTGTGTGTGTGTGTGTGTGTGTGTGTGTGTGTGTGTGTGTGTGTGTGTGTGTGTGTGTGTGTGTGTGTGTGTGTGTGCGTGCGTGCGTGTGTGCATGTGTGTTTGTTTCACGAGGATTATTAGCAGCGACTCACACAGCAGATTAAATCCTGAAATTGACACAACTGGAAACTACTGCTTTTATCATGTTTGGAGAATTTTTCACTTTTTATTATACATTTTTTTGAGGTCAATACTTTGTTGACATGTGGAACAGATCAGACATGCTGAGGCTCGGAAACATGACTTTTTTACAGAAACGTGAACAGAACAGCGTGTCCGGTTGACATTTTGGAAATGCAGGGAATGGTTTTAATGGACAAAACTGTCAATCCAGCTGGTTCTCACTAAGTGTGCATGAAACGATGTATAATTTCTTTTCCTGAGCACACCCCAAGTTCAACCTCTAGCCTATAAAGTTAAAGGGGAGGTGTGGTAATGAGTCACCTGCTGCTGCACAGTGCAACAATCTGTCAGTGCCACCTGTCTGAGTCAAGCTGTGAGGAACAAAAAAAACCTAGAATCAAACAATTTAAACAAACTTTTACTTCATTTTTATAATGAACGATGCTTGGCGTGTAGAGCAAAAATCAGAAGATGGATCATTTTTTACTCAAACTCAGCATTTAAAGATTGAGAATTCCAACTTGTATCACCTTAAATATGTGTTAAGTTCATTAAAAAACAAAAGGTAAACACTGAACAATAATCCTGGGTATATATTAAATAAAAGGTTGCCAGGTCATGTGACCAGTTCATTTATTTTCAGCTGCACATTTGGTTTCTGTTCTAACATATCTCAATGCTTCATGCTTCAATCTCTAACCTCACCAGGGCAAGGCTGGACGGGATGGATACCCGGTAAATTTGATTTGTTATTTATCCTGTCACTCTTCAATTCACCCAATCACATCTTTTCTTCTTTTTTCTTTTTTTTTACTCTAGGGTTTTTTCCCTCTGCTCTTCTAAGCACTTTGACCTGTTTTAGACCTTTCTCTGCTCCTTGAAAAGGCATTTAGTCTCGTCGCCTTCTGTTTCTTCACCTCCTTTTAACACTTTCTTTCCACGAATGATATCTCCTCCTGCCCCATGAATGAAAAGAGACTCAAACTCAAAGACATATGTATCAAACACATGCAGACAAAGACTGCCCAGGGTGGAAAGATTACATGAAAGTCTTAGATTATTTACTTCAGGCAGAGAAAAAGCTAAAACATATGACGTCTGATGTGAAAATGTGTAAATTTGAAGAGAAATAAACAAGTAGATATCATCGGTAAACAAAAACCACAAGAGTACAAACCACACAAATTAAATATAAAGCATACAACTATAGGGCAGAACTCATTGTTTCAGCTTTTAGATGAGGTTTACAAATGTTTAAATAATACAACTGTGGACATCAAAAACTACTGAATGCAAAGCAGATCATTGATTTCCAGCAGATAACCGACAACGCATCGAACCACAGAGACGAGGTCAGGTTCTTTGTGTTGTCAGTAGAAGTAGCGGCCTCTTGTGGCTGGTCAGACTGATTTTTCCTGCTCGACAGCTCATGCTCAGCTCTGTTGCTGGTTTAGCCAGCGTCAAATGCACAACAGCACTACACACACTCAGCATTCAAAGCTCAGGTTATCTGTTGCATGAAACCTTTGTATGTGTGTATGTGAGAGTGTGTGTGTGTGTGTGTGTGTGTGTGTGTGTGTGTGTGTGTGTATATGTGCTTTGTGGGACACTTTTTCCTACTGTGACCCTTCTGTCAGGTAGCATTAGCAGAAGCCTCCCGGTGTTGTGTTCCACAGCGTCTCGTCTGTTGTGTTCGTTGTGTACGTTGTCTCACTGGGAATGTTGGGAAGTTCATTACCCATGGGGCTCAGTCTCAGTCTGCCTGGCACTGCGCAGCCCTCCTGACGGGAAATGCCTGCTGCTAATTACACACAGGTGGAGGGAAAGCGAGGAGAAGTGTGTGCATTTGTGTTTCTTTGCCTGTGACTCTATTCATCTTTGTCACTGTCTGCATTAGAGATCCAAAAGTATTGGTCAATTCATCTGTTTTTCTTTCAAACATTTTCTTAATTAAAGAATGTAGTGTTTTGTATTAAAGCTGCATAATCTGTGTAATCCTTCCTGTTGTGATGCACACATGAAGGTATGATGACTAAAGAGGCTGCGTGTATGGAGTTACAGTGAAACAAATGCAGTTTAATCATACCGGCAGTTACCATGGACAGCACATTATTTCATTTAGCAGCAACAGAGATGATCAAGTTTCAAACACGGGGCTTTTAAAAAGCCGTTCTTCCTGTTGGGTCGCTCTGTTTGTGTATCTCTGTCCATATGTGCAGATGTGTGTGAACTCCATCCAACCACCCATAGTTTATGTAAATCTCTGAAACAAAGGCCAGAGCTGTGGAAGTGGTCAGAGGTCTTTGTGTGTGTGTGTGTGTGTGTGTGTGTGTGTGTGTGTGTGTGTGTGTGTGTGTGTGTGTGTGTGTGTGTGTGTGTGTGTGTGTGTGTGTGTGTGTGTAAATGTATGATGTGTGTTTCTCTCACATGGTCTGCTCATAAGGAGAGGGCATCAGCACAAATGAGTCGAGTCAGTTTTCTGAGAGCGCTGCGACGCAAACTGTGCCGTGCCAGTGACTCGTGCCAACAAATTCTCTTTCTTTATTTTTCCATCGTTAAAACAAACAGAGCGATCGCTTTCCAAAATCTTTTTTCTTGCCCTCTCTCACCCTTATTATGTCTCTGTCAGATTCAAGCCTTTAACACTCTGCAGGCAGCGCTCTTTATGCTGTGACACATTAACACATCATTCAACAAGAGTGCTGTACTGGGCTTTGACAATTCCCATTCATCTTTGGATTTTCACTCAGCACATTTCAGCAGTTTGTTCTGTACTTTTTACTGTATCCCATTCATCTAATCAGAATCCAAATCAGGATCAGTTCTTTTTTTTATATTTCTTTTTGAGCCTTTATTTGAGAGATAGGACAGTGGATAGAGTCGTAAATCAGGGAGAGAGAGAGTGGGGAATGACATGCAGGAAAGGAGCCACAGGTTGGATTTGAACCTGGGCCGGCTGCTTGGAAGACTTCAGCTTCCATACATGGGTCGCGCGCACTAACCACTGCGCCACCAGCTCCCCGGGATCAGTTTTTGACGAGCAAGTTTACACAAACAAGTAACTGGAAACAAATTAAACAGCAGTAATCCTCCTAAATAACAAAGACAGAATAAATTATACATAATATTTATACAAATGAATATGATATCAAATGTTTGCAATATATATTTACTTTGTAGTTTGATTGGGTTAAATACTAAGATGACTGATCCAAAATATGATCAACCAATAGGTGATGCTGTATTATTAAAATGTAAATCTAATAATGATATTATGATGTTATATAATAGATTATTTCAATATACAAATGATCACTCTAGGCAGCACTTCATTAAGGACTGAGAGTCATATTGTGCACATTTTTATCTTTCAAAGTTTACTTGTACTGAAAGCTAATATTTCTGCACTGTGGTAATGCAACTTAATAGAAATCCTCACGTCTTCCTCTATTGAGTTGTCATATAAGCTATGTGGACATATGAGTGTGTTTTGTTTTCAGTGTATGATGGTGCATGAGCTGCACTTCATTCAGGTCCTGTACACGTCTCACATTTGTTAATGCATTCAGCCGTCCACTTCCATTGAAGCATTAGTTGTATGAAAAACAGTGTTAATGACATGCGGTTTGTGTGCATCTCAAGCAGAACACTTTGATGAGTGTGTGTGTGTGTTTGTGCATGCTGATGTATGTTTTCTCTCCTTGTGTAACCCCTGTCACTTCTTCTTCCTCTCATAAATCACAGGCGAGGGGTTTGAATTTCAGAAAACGAGCCTTCCCGCTGTCAAACAATCAAAGTCAGACACGCTGGCAGAAAAGTGCAGAGGGCTAAACACACACCCCCTGAAGTTAATTCTCATTCATATGTGCAGTCACCACAGTGCCGAACTACCAGCATGTTTACACTGAAGTGCCAGTCTGTGACAGTCAGTGAACCTTAGTCAGCAGAAAAAAGGCCTGCATTGTTCAGACTTCCAGTTTGCCGCGCGCAGATTAAAGCCAGACAGTCACCCAATAACATGTCAGTGATTTTCTGTCCCAAACACACAGCACTCTGGTTCTATGGTATGCTTGTTTTCTGCACTTTGGGTCTGGACGCAGCCACTTATTTTTCCACAAAAGAAGCAAATGTCATGTTTCGCAATTTATGTTTATGTAGGCCTGACGTAGAGTGGAGTTTTGTTCCTGTGGCAACATGAAAGAAAGTAAAGAGGAGGGAAATATATATAAAACAGGGATGTTCTCACTGAGAGGAAAAGATAATGATACAAAATGATGTGAAGAAGAAAAGTAGGACCAGGAGAGAGGAAAAGGTACATCGTCCTTTATTCTGGTGTCTCATAATTAAGCTCATTGAGTCTAATGTGTGCAACACAGTACCATGCCATGTGTGTTTCTAGGGGAGGCGTCTGCTCTGCTGTGCAGACACCAAGTTTTTTGAAAGCATCCTCAGCAATTACACCCTACGGGATAATTAGCAGTCTGCACCATAGGAAACACCATAAAGACAGTAAAGACACCCCTCGCCCTTTATAAAGAAACACACCCATCCAATATACATGTATTAGCATGCACACACACACACATACACAAACACAGACAATGGTATATGCCCTCCTGCAGGCCAAGCCATTTTACAGAAATGTGTTTAAAAGCCATCTAATTGGTGGGAATGCTGAGTCCAAACTTCTGCTGATGAGATGCTACGGGACAAGATGGCAATGTGGACTAGAAATACACACTTAGAACCACAGATAAACAAAAAGACATTATTTTCTCTTCCCCCCCACATTCACTTGAGGTTTTGGTGGTAATCTCAGGCCTATTTTTTCTGTTTTTCTCAACAGTAATCTCTCTTTTTCTTGTTCTTCTTTGGTCCTTTATCTGTCCTTTTTTTTCCTGTGGTCTGATCCATTTGTGGTACAGATTAAGGTTTTAGTAGTGGATTTTTTTTTTCTTACAGCCTGTTCTATTTTATATGAATTCCAGCTCTTTTTATGCCCTGCAGACTTGTGTGCTTTGTAGGTCTGTACTGCACTGAAGGTACAGTTTAACATTGCAGCTACACAGAAAGAAAAGCAGAACGTATATTTAGGGCCACACATCAAGATTCGATTTCACCTGGTTCCTATGTTCTGTACTCTTATTCTCATTACTATAAACCCTTCTCTATGACCTCTGTTACTGATTTAAGTAAGGCCCATAGATTTCAAAGTGTTTTAACTTAGCAACAGGCCAGAGATACTTGCTTTAAATTGTCATCAAAAATGAACGTTACAGGGTTGCAATATACAGAAATCGATTAACGGTAGAGACAGTGAAAGAGAAAGAAGGGATTGGACAGGGTCAACACAGCATCTCGGACAATAATGGTGAAGAATTTTGAAGCATTGCTCCCTCTGCTTCGGGGGCGGTGTATGAATGGATTAGTGTTGTATTTACTCTCTGATGTATGTCGCTTTGGATCAAAGTGTCTGCTAAGTGAATTGTAACATTGTAACATTTATTGTATTTCGGTATTGTATTTTTTATTGTAGTAAGGTCATAGAGGTTGCAGTTTCTTTTTCATACAAACTGTCAGCTGTCACATATTAGATACAAGGTTTTATTGTTTAAGAGGGAAGAAAGACACATACAGCTACAATACCTGCAGTTCACAGGCCGCTGTGAGGCTTGTTAGCAGCCATAAATCAGTCTATTTTTTGCTCCAGTTCAGACTGCAGCAGCCAGTGACCTCATGGTGTACCTCTTCTGCTCATCCTGACAAGTCTTGAAGGAGCCAGGCCCTGATAAACACTGCCAGATGCTGAGATATCATACACACACAGACACTTGCAAATCCAGTGACTGGAGGAAAACTCACTTGAACAATTGTAGGCTTACTCAAGTACTCAAAGTATCATGGAGGACATGAAACATGCAGCGTGCTGCTTTTAATAGAGTGATGAAACCAGTGAAGGAAGTAGAGCCTTACACTTAATCTCAACTTCAGACAGTCCTGGTGAAATTATTGCTGTGCGATTGGTCCCAGTCATTTGTTCCACCCCTGTTTCAGCCACCCACTAGCTGATTTCACAAGGGGCCCTTAATCAAAAAGACATCAAGAGATCCTCAAAGGCTTTTGCTGTACATTTTATAAATCTCTTTTATAAGGACTAACCACTAATGTTTCAAAGAGAGTTTAAAGCTGTAACTTAACATTACAAGACTTAAAAAGGGCATCAAACAATTAATGAGAGCAGCTCCAAAGTATCATCCCATTGCCTTAGCCCTGCTGTCCATTCATCAAAGTAGGCAGCGATGACACTGTGGTTGGTTTTCACAACAGGACCTAAGGTCGGATAGCACCCATGGGTCTGCTTAAGCTTTAAGATGAAGGAAAAATAAGGACTTATATAAGCCACCCAAGGCTGGAATTGACGATTGTTGATGATGGTTTCCACTCTGCACAGCCACCAGGACTGAAGAGTTGTGCAACCCACCACTCCCGGGACCCTGTGAAAACTGTTAGCTTAACATCAAGTATGGTTGTTAAGGAGGAAGTCAACATTAGCCTTTACCACATACATCACATTTAAGTGTTTTAGGAAAGTTGGATCCAAGAGTTCCTCTTTGTTTAAGTAGGGATCTAAAGGTTTATGCCTTTGAACTGAGTGTTGCTTTGCAGAGGAGGTTCAATGACTGCTCGACTGTTTTTATTGAGGTAAACAAAGTGGACAACTTCAACTGCTGTTTCGGCACCGGGATGAGGTTGTATAGGGACTCTACTTAACTGCCTGTTGGATTATCTCATCACTGCAAACACACAGAGACATGGGTTTGTGAGGAAGTTTGATCCAGCTGGATCAAATCCACTCACAGTCAATTCCCCTGGACACCGCACTCTAAATCTACGAATAATTATAAACCACGACCACCTGGAAACATCTTAGTATAGCAGTCTATGTGTGCACACACAAATGCACTCACACACTTAAATTGGGCAGGATATACATAGAACATTTGTATAGAAACTATACAACAAAATGTCTTCCTTTTCCTTCTTTCATCCTATAATTTCAATAATTGCAGCTGTTTCTCTCTGTCGTTTACAAGCACGCTTTTCCTGTCCTCACTTGATAGGCCTATGTTTGTATTGACAAATCCTCAAAAACAATTTTTTCTCTATAACTAAGCTCATTCACATCGTTTCCTGAAAGATAAGGAAACAAACTCTCTATTAAAAAAACAACAACTAAATAACGGACAGTTTTATGGTATGTTGCTGGGGAAAGATAGTAAGCTATTGTTAGTGAATTAAAACAAAAAAGTTTCATAGAAGAATATCAATTGATAGTTTTTATGATAATTTAAGAAGAAATAGCAGAATTAATCGTTGACTATTATTTCTGAGAGTTAAGAATGAGAAATGTGAAACCTTTCTTGTCTGCACCTTTAATATAAAGATAGAGAGACGACAATGTTAGCTTTGCTAGCATAAAGACTGCAAACTGAAGAAAACAACTATCCTAGCTCTGATTATCGACACTTCTGACATGAACTTGTTAACAGATTGAGTCTAGTTTGTTGCGTCTTGGTTTAAAATATGTTTTCAGTGCTAAAAAACACAAGTGGTACCAGACTTTTTCTTTGCTATAGTCAAAGTGGTAAGCTAGGCTAACCGCACCCTCCTGCTCTTCACACAGACAAGGATGGTGTTTATTTCTTCATCTAGACCAGAAAAGAAATAGAGCTTTTTCATGTTTTTAAAGTCAAACTGTGTTTGTAAATGATCTGAGTGAACGTGACTCTTATGACTTTGTGCTTTTGTCTCTTAAAATTAATCTTTCTGTGCCTTTTAACAGGGTCCTCTTGGTTTGGATGGGAAACCAGTAAGTGTCAGCATCATTTAATGAGTGAAAAATACTTTAAAAGAGTAACAGAAGTTTAATTTTTTTTTTCTCCTCTTAGGGTTTTCCAGGTCCCAAGGGAAGCCAGGTACACCATGACACACCTGTTGTCTTGTTTTCTGTTTTCTTGCGTCACGTATTAGTAACACTGACGCAATTCATACTTACATTCTCTAACTGTGAATCCAGGTGGGTATTTGGCCTGTTCAACTGGTGCCACTGTAATTCATCAATCATTTTTACTGTTCCTAAGGGAACACTGTCAGTGAGTTAAAAACCCTACGGTAGCCATATTGTTTCCTGATCCACCTCTTCAGTCATCCCAGGGCTCAGAGCCACGAGGGAGTCATGGTTCAACTGAACCGAGTGCTGAAATCCCCTTTGCACTTCACCTCTGAGTCCTATCCATCACCTTCCCCTGAAACCTTGCACACACCCAGGTGTAGTGGAAACAGGCCAAGCAGAACGAATGGGTAACACACTATCAGGAAAAGTGTAAGAATGAGAAATAGAGAAAGAGAGAGAAGCCGTTTTCACATATGCGCTCCGGATAATATCTAGATAATTACAGGAGGACTGCTCCGGAGATTCTCCCGACCTAGCCGTTCACATATGCTCCTCACAGCGGGGACTATCCCTGTCAGAGGGGGGGGGGGGGGGGGGATTTCCTGAGGTAAGACGTGACGTAAATAAACAACGCGGAAGTAGCGGCCGAGTCTGCTACACAACGCTATAATAAGAATATTTGCTTTATATCAATGCTATGTGTAGTCCAATGGAATGACAATATCAACAAATGAGTGGAGAACAACATACTACGAAGTATATGCTGCCACGTTCAGACATCAGCTCACCCGTCGTTTCTGCTGAAAAAATACTAGGGGTCTGGCCGGAGAAACTCCGGGTAAAGTCTGCCCGAAAAATGCGGCTGTTTGCATTCACATATAGCCTAAAGACCCTCCGGGTAGCATAATCACCGGAGTTTTCAGGAGATTTCCGTATGTGTGAAAAGGGTTAGAGAGAATATGACGTCTACTGAGGCTCTTAAAAAGTCATTATAGCTCCCTCTAACCCCCACCTCCTCAGCCTTTCTCTCTGGTCTCTTTGCCAACGAAAGAAACGAGTCATCTGCTGAAATGTAAACCCCTCACAGAATAATACAAGCTGTTTTAATGGCTCCTCTCCAAACACTATTAAGGTGTTGTTTCCTGCAAAAAGAGACCCCAAGCTGGGTCTGTCTTTTAAGAGGACTCTCCCCATCACTGAGTGTCTGCTGTAAAACCCTTAGCAGGTGTGAAACAGACCTGTGACCAGTGTCTCCTGTAAGTGCTCAGGGGAGATTTAAGACGGAGGATTAGCATATACAGGAGTAACTCAGCATTTAAAGGATCATGGACAGTCAAGAAAAGTTCAAAAGTTTTCAGAGCTATGATTAAAAAAAGGACAATTACTCTGAGCCAAACAACATCATTTACACAAGATGCAGTGTAGCCTTTGTTACGTCCTCTGCTGAGCTTAAAGATGGAACAGTTTTTTGCCCTACTATTCCGCTTGTGTATCTCTCACACTGATGCGAGGCGTAAAAGTGGTATAACAGTCAGGTCTTGTAATCGGGATTCATGGTTGAGTTTAGAATAAAGCCTGGGATAAACTACACTTAAAGGACTGATCTATTTTTTAAGCTGCTTTTAAAAAACAAGTCTATAAAGAAATGTAAAACTCAAATGTTTTTTTTCATTGTTGAAAAAAAAAAAAAAAAAGCATTCCTTAATGCTTAATTCCTTATGCTCTTAAGAGATAGGACAGTCCAGTGGATAGAGTCAGAAATTGTTATAATTTGAGAGAGAGTGCGGGAAAGGAGCTACAGGTCAGATTTGAACCCGGGCAGGGAACAATGAGATTAATTAGACTAAACTAAAGGTGATCAAAGTGTCAAGTATAAGCTATCAAAAAGTCCCCAGTGATAATTGCACACCTATTGCATTATTCATTTTAACTTGTTTTCCATGACTTAAAAAAATAGAACAGTTGATAACCTGTTGCCTGTCACCATGTGCCCATTTACAAACCGTTCACCCTCTGCACCAGACCTTTCCTTCTTCAGCTACAAACTCCTGAACACAATTAGATCTCCAGTCCAGACAAAATGTCGGCCAGACAAAGAAGACATAAGGAAAGGGGGAACAAATTAGAGAGGGAGGCACCGAGGAAGATCTCGTGGCAGATTTAGAGACGGGGGAACTGAATAAAAGCAGAGAGGAGGAACGGGGGGCGTAAGTGAAAGAACAGACAGTTCAGAGAACAGAGACATGAGAAAGCTTAAGTTAAAGGTTGAAAGAGGTAAGATCTGCTCACCGTAGCACTTTTAGAGGCTTAGTTGGTGGTAGGTATCCTTGTTGTCTTTCTACAGAGGGCCTGTCTGAGGTTTGAGGTCCTTGTGCCAATGAGAAAGGATGAAAGAAAGATGGAAGAGGGCACATTGCAGCCCGACTGTCAGGGATTAGCTCATCTCTGGGCCTGGTGTTCATAAGGCACTTGTAAACAGTCCAACACACAGTACGACTGTGTCTTCCATACTATTCATGAGTGCATAAGTCTGTATTGTAAGTTTCGATCATTCCACATCTAAAGCATCTTCAGAGTTCCCCTCTGAGAGAGAGACTGGTTCAGGAACAAAGAACATGTCGGCCGTTCTCTTTTATCTCGCAGCAAAACACGTTTTATCTCGCAAAGAGAACTCTTGAAAGGGATTCTTGCTGCATATTTTGAAATATGCTCAGACAGATGGGACTTGTGATTGAGCAGTCTCAATGGCACGGCTGCATTAAGTGGTATTACCGCCTTGCCTTAACATTTGACGAATGCTCCCCACTAGATGCCAGTTGAAGATGTATTGCGCTGTGATGTGTGTTTCTCGTATGATTGTTGATTTATGATTTAACCGACTGTCTCCGATTATCTCTTCCCTCCTGCAGGGACCAGCCGGACCCAAGGGAGATAAGGTATGCCTCAAAACTCTACTAAATAAGTCAATGTTCAGTCACTTACAAACACACATTCACAGGTGTTCTCTCCATCTCCATGTTCAGATTTTCACTGTGCTGCCTTTCAAACCAGTCATACATTACATGTAGTAATGTAGGAGCTCATATGTCTTTGCACATTCTCACATCAAATCACTAAACAGGTCTACAGGCCTCGATGATAGCCAGATGTTTTCTAGTTCTGTGAACCTCTGCCCTGGCGAAGATGTTAGCGACAGTTAGACTGCAAAGGCTGGCAGAGGAGGCTTGTGCATGTGGTCATTCATGTATACACCGATGTTTAAGTTGTGAGTGTACGATTCTGCATTGAAGCATAACTTATCCAGATAAGCGACACTGCAAGTAAACAGCATGTGTCAGCGCAGGATTCAGCCCGATGAGCGGCAATTGCAAACGACAGATGATGTTGAGGTTTGGAAAGTTGGCTCCTTTCATGTAATCATGCTCCAAATCTACATCACAGATCCAACAATCTGCAACATGTGCACTCCCACTTTAATTCATTATTTCTTGTCCCAGTTAAATGATTCCAATTTTGGCCTATCAAATGGTTTGTGCAGTAAAAGTTGACATCCTGAGCTGCCTTTGTTGCAGATGACCTTTGACTGGCTTCCTTCTGGTACACAAACATTCGTTTTGAATCCTGTCAGTCAAAGCTGCTCTACAGTAGCTCTGTTGAAATGCCTTATCCTGCATATACAGATGTAATAAGTGCTGACAATTGTTCTTTTTTTCACCTTTTTTCACAGGGTGACCAAGGAGATGTTGGGCCAAGGGTAAGTCATATTATTCGTCCTTTTCTGAGAAGGTGGAACGAGATGGTTTTGACTGTTTTTCTATGAGCTTTCTTTCAGGTGACCTGGATGAAAAGGGCTTTCCTTTAATTGTGTTTTGTTTCCGAGCAATTTTAAGAAGTGCCTCACATGTGCTTTGTCCTCTGTCTTCTATTTTGTCAATTTGTCTGTGCAAGGATCCTGTTTCCTTTTCCACATCCCCGTCAGAACAAGATTCATTGCATTTTTCATCTCCACTCAGACATTTTTCAGTTAATATAAACACAAATCTAAGACAGTTTTTCACCGTTTTCACCAGATTTAGAGACGTGGTGTATATCTCTTGTTTGTACACTTGACATAAGCACAGTTAGCTAATCTAGCTCTGTCCAAAGAGGCAAAATCAGCACTTTTATATGCACAGATAAAATTACATTTGACCAAGCAGACTTTAAATGTACCAGAGTTGAAAACTGTTGAAGGTCTGCAGGAAGATTCTGCACTTATATGGGGAACATAATGCTGAGACCAGACGGTGTAACAGATCATCACAAATGAAAAGTCAAAGTGCAGGGAGAGAGGAATTTTCTGTTGGAAATGTTAATACGTCTGAAAATCTTATAATTTCTTGTTATAATACTTGGGGAACAACAAAGTGTATGTGCAAACAGAGAGACAATTTTACAATTTGTCATGTTTCCTTCTACCCACATAACCGTTAACACTAAAGCCAGTCTTTTAATATCTCAAAAGAAAAGTGTGTTTACACTGTACGGCGTCCACAGCAACTGCACCGACAACATCATTTGGCTCCTATGATGAGGTTTAAGTTGCCCACATCTCTAAAGCCAGAGATGAGAAATGATGATAGAAAAGAACGATGGAAAAACTTCAACCTTACCATCAAAACCCAACGTTCAGGGCAGTGAGCCAAAGCTGCCATCTATTCAACCAAACTGTGTTCTTTAAATATTACACCACAACCTCGTTTTCACATCTGGTCCATGTTGTCAGTGTTTTCTTTTCATGTGATATCATCCCAACCCAACATGAGATCTGTGTAATTATCTCCCGTTTTATTCTCTGTGGTTTTCAATTCGACCCCTGTGCTTCATGGTAAATAGCTTGGTTTCTTTGAAGAAGTCATGTACCCTTTAAATCCTGAATGTTTTCTTAGTTTTGTTGTGTTTGGAATATATTATCAGGTCAAGGTCATAATGCTTCACATGCAAATCGAATACACAGGGAGAGAATTATTGTTTTCAATCCAAGCCCTGTTATTTTAATGCTTTTATAACATAATTGTAGCAATTACATCAGCAAAAAAAGAGAACTGAGTCATTGTTCAAATTAAATTTTAAGCAAACTCTATAATAATAATAATAATTTGCAGCTTCTCATGTTAAGATGATTTTTTTGTTGTTTTTTTGTTGTTGTCCTATAATTAAAAGCTCTGAGGTTCTTGGGCTGCTCTAATAAATAATGCATTTTGGTTGGCTAATCATCAAACTAAGATATTGTCATTACACTAAACATGATAAACCCTTCTCATCTGTAAAACAAATGTTCTTAATGTAATATGGACTCATTTATTAGCATAAGGCACTTAAATTACATTTTGATGCCTTGCTTTCAGGCCTTGACATATTACTTGAGAAGAAAAAAAAGTCCAGCACACTACTAAGTGTCACCAATTTATTTGAAAAATCACAACGTTTCAGTCCCTCTGAACCTTTGTCAAGTGTGTTCCAAACAATTCCCCCACCATGATCTTAAGTAAGCTCCTCCGTGTGCTCAGGTGTGGGACATTTAGTCTAATAACAAGTGTCTCTCAATCAACAGCAGTAACATATGCAGAGTCACTCACCCCAATATTCACATACTGTATATTAGGGAAAAAACACAAATCAAAATACAAACTTGAATGGCAATAGAGCAGAGACAATACATACATAATTAAATCAAACATTGGGACTCTATCACATCAAAATGGACCCTATTTACAGAGATATGTTCTTTAATGAATAAAACATTGGCATTACAGCTTTCATAAATCATTCAAACAAGTAAAACAATGTACAAGTTACAATGTATCTTGTTTGTACCATCAATATGTCGAAAGGCCTTCACATATTAAACAGTCTTAGCCACATTTTTGCAAATAATGCTTATTGGTTTGTGTTTTTCTGTTTGTGTTATTATGGGTTTGCAGTAAACTTGGTCCAAAGGTGTACAATGTGATAGAGAAGGAGAAACTGTAGCAATCTTTCTAAATCTAAATTATTTTATCATTAGAAACTTCTCCTACCAACTTTGTTTTCCGCATTATGTTACTATGACTTTCAATACAAACAAAAATTATTTTCAGATTGTTCATTTCCTGTCTTATGTATCCGTAACTCTGAATGTGACTTGAACTATTTAAAAAACTCACGCACACTGTATTTATAAATCTTACCCTTAACTGCCTTCAACAGCAACATGTTATTTTTCTTGATTGTTACTCAGATTCTTCAGCAAGTATCCAACAAATGACAAGCTTTTAAAAACTAATTAGAAATAGATGTGTAGCCCTACGTCTTCCAAGACTTAAAGCCTGAAAATATTGGCATTTCAGTGTGTAAGCGTATTGGAATGAGACTGAACGGCTATTGTTTTATAGTAGAGAATAAATGGAGTGTAAATTTGACAGGCCTGCCAAGCGGAACAAAGTTTATGATGCGGCTAAGAAACATAACTAGAATTCCTTTTTCCAATCAAGGCATACACCATTACATTTCTCAGACGATCCCTTTAGATTTCAAGATAATAGTGAAAGATTTTCAGCTTTTTTTTGCATTTAGCATTACATATTTCTGCCAAATGGTAAATATTAGACTTGGACCAGGCTTTATGGGGCTCTGATGTCCTTGGATAAGGCTGCAGCCGAAAAACCTCAGAGTATCACTTAGAGACACTAACTTGGTACAAAACAAACCCTGCAGCTCCTAAAACTACTGTATTTCTGAATGAGGTTTGGCACTGTGGTTATTTTCACAGATATGATTAAATAGGCTAGCAAATGAAAAACTATTAGTGCCTTTTTGTTTTAAGTCTTTTTTTACAACTGTGGCCTTAAGCTCTACAGGTACAGAATAAAAGGTAATGAGTGGGATTACATGATAAGTACATTGACTCAGCAATAACCTTGCACCAGAGGCAGATCCAGGGGTAGCAAAGGGGATGGCCAGGGTCCCCCTTGAAATTCGATTGGCCACTCCAGGGGCCGCTTTTTTGCCTTTTCAGAGGCAGGACGTGTTAAAACCAACTATTTGGGCAGTGTTGCAACAAGCTGCCGGTAGCTTCGTTACAATTTGGAATTTATTTTATTTTGTTAGTGCTTTAAATTGTGACACAAACATCTTCTTTTTCAAACGTTAAATAATGGAGTTAAAAAGGTTTAAATGTGGCCACTCTGTTGTGTTTCTTTAAAAGTTAGAAACATACACAGGAATTTGACATCTTTTTGATGGTTTAATGTTAATAGTAGATATAAGTTGATATGAAAAGTGGAGACAGAGACAGTAAATAAAAGCTATTCTGAGTTTATGAGAGGATTTAACAGTACATGTGAAAACAGGAAGTGGTTATAAATCTCTGTCAATCTGGGACTTCCTGTCAATCCATCATTTGTAGTGCCATTGTCAGTTTGAATCTGCTGCCAGAACAAATTAAAAACACAGGATTACAAGGGTATTTAAACCAGCGAAAGATATGTTACAATAGCTCATGCATAGGGTTAAATATTTCTTAAAAGCGAGAGGTTTAAAGCAGGTACTAACGGTGTTGAACATGTGTTAAAAGACAAGCTATTGTAGAAGTTTCATCTTCAGCCAAGGTTGCCTCCTCCAGAGCAGTTGCAAAGAGGCCATGGTTAGACAGTGCTCCGAGGTTGAAAGGCTGTTTGACTTAGATTCTGCCTAAAGTCTGATGAGACTATGGTAAAGGGGAAACCCATTGTGAAACAGCCTATTCTCTTATGATATGTTTCAGGGGCATATATGTATGTGGTCTCCATGGTGGGAACGGTGTGAATGAGTGAATGTGACAGTGGGAAGAGAGTATAAGGAGGGGTCTGCGGTGTTGGGGAAAAAAAAAACCTCAGCCATCCAGCGTTCACCGCAGCCTGTTAACAGAAACCTCATGAGCAAGCCAGCATCTCTACCGTCTATCCTCCCGCTGTTCATCCCCCCTCCTCTCTTAGATCTCCCCCCTATTCCTCCCATGTGTTTTTGGAGAAGAGCTCAACCAGAGAAGCAGCACAGGGCTTCCAGCTCTGTGGCGGCAGGCTAACTTTGCTCCTTCAAGCTCCACAGACAATCATCATAGTTACTGTCTGTCGGCTGGAAAGAGGCAGGCCACCTCTGTTTGGTTTGGTCGCAAAGGGGAAGGATGGGGAGAAATTAAATGGAACACACACACACAATCAAACACATCTTTTCAAGAGCAAAAAGTGGTTTCTTAAAGTGCAGAAGGGTCAAAACAGTTAGTGGGTCTCAGTTTTAATGAAACATAGTTCACACTATTTGCAGATGATGTGGTTTTGTTCGTCACATTAAATCTGCAGAATTTGCAAATGCATACTTTTTCAGACAGAGTCATTTAAATTATGAGCCCTTTAATTGCTGCAGTAAGTCGCTTACCTTTTCATTTTGTTGCTTCCTCTCCTCAGGGTCATCCTTACCACAGCACATATGCAGGTCTGCACAGTAATCAGATTCCCATCAAGGTTGGTCCCTCCAAGCTAACTCTCCTATGTCAGCCCAGCAGTCTCCAACCTCTGTCCAGACTCTGATTTCTCACTTTCCTTTCTGGAATAGAGCAAAACCCTCATCTTGAGCTTTTTCTTTTGTCCAACAGCCTCAGAGCCTGCTGAACTTTCAACTCTACTTTCCAACAGCGGTTATTCCCCTCTTTCCTGTACTCTTGGACACTCAGCCTTTCCATTTCCTTACTCATTTATTTGTCTTTCTCCTTCTCTCTCTGCTCTTTTGCTGCTGTCTTTATACTTCCTGTCCACGCTGCACTTCTTGCGTCTCAGATGGTCTTCCCTCGTTATGACCATGGCTTCCTCTCTGGAGAGCAGTCGAGCAGCTTTCAGAGACGCTTTCTGAAGGTAGACCTCAACCAAGGCATGTGTGCACCTCTTAACATATTAACCAAACTGTCCTTTTTGTGTTCTTACAGGCGTGCACATCTCTCTTCTTTGCCACCTTTCACGTTTCTTTAACATGCTGAATTTTTTATTTTGAGTTTTTATGTGTTAGGGCACGGGGGAAATTATTTTTACAGAAGTTCCAAAGCATCCCAAAAATTAGGAAATCTTGGAAGAGGAACCACACACATTTAGAAAAGCTTGACAAATGTGTGCCTCCCTACACAGTGAATACAAGAGCTAAGTCTGTGACAGTTTAATTCGATCCTGAGCTTAACAGAGACAAAATAATTATCAGTAAAAGGAAACAAGCTTTTAGTCTTCTATTTGAAGGTCTCCATGAAAGGGGTTGCTGTTCCATGTTGCCTACCGCATGAAAGCTAACCATAATCCACCACATGTCCGTAGGACTTATTGGCGCAGAGGAAGTGTCACCATTTGACTGTAGAGCATGCGCTGTCCCCCATCCCCTACAGTGCAAAGACTTTGAGGGTGTTAATGGTTTCTATTTGGCACAAACATGAGGGTGGAATTCATCAGAGAGAGGCATGTTCTAAGTTACATTTAAATAGAGCTGATGAAAGGATCTTTAAAAGGTGGTGACACTTTGTTTTGCCTTTGTGAAGCCTTAAACCTCCTTAAAACAGACAATGTTGTCCAAAATGAAAGCGTTCACATGTATTAGAGCAAACTTTTAGCATGGTCTTTTATAGGTTTTTATCATTCTCTAGACCACAAACTTTTTATTTTGATTGACTGAGAGCAAACAAAAAAACTTTGTAAACCCTATGCAGTCCTGAAAAACTACCTATAGACAGATTAAGCAGCTTTCTGGTGAGCATCAAGCAGCTCAAGAGCAGAAACCAAGTTCAATTGAAAGTAATTATTAGAATTGGCTGGAAAAAAAACACAACAGTTATTAACTGTGAAAAAAGTGCTCCCTACCATTTGTGTGTACCAACTTCTAAAGCCAACAAGTGGTGCAACAATCAATTAAAGAACTTTGTTTTGTCTGAAATCCCTACCCATACATATAAGCTACAGGACCAAATCAGCATAGAGATGGAAGGTAACACTTTCTCCCTCAGCACCATATCTACGCAAACCACAAGTTCCACACAGGAGCTTTAATATTTGGTATAGCTCAAAGTGAAGGTGTCAAATGTTGAAAAAAAGATAACACCCAACTTTTAAAGTTTTGATGGGATTGAAAAATTAATCCAATAAATCCATATATTGTTCCTTTTTCATGACTAAAATCCACTTTTTTTCTCATGGGTTTTCGCTTTTTTCAACAGGGTGACCAAGGCCAGGCTGGACCAGCTGGTCCTCCCGGTCCGCCAGGTCCCCCTGGTCCCAGAGGCCCTCCTGGGAACACAGGCAAGGACGGACCGCGTGGCCCTGCTGGAGAGCCGGTAAGAGCTTCTCTTCTTGCACCACAATAACAAATGTACATTGGACACCCACTACACAATATAACAAAGAGTTTGGTCTAGACCTGCTCTGTCTTGAGATCACATTTGATAGAAATCGGTGCTATACAAATAAAAATTGATTGATGGATTGATATACAAAACTATTCACATGCATTCACACACATCCGCACACCCAGTTACTGTTATTCTCCTCCTCATCCATCATTCTCCCTCCACTTCATGTTACACCACAAAGAATCCAGTCACTTAAAACACCTCAGTCATCAGAGGCTGCTGTTGCCCTCATTGTGTTGACCTGATTGTTTTCAACCGCAGGGTGTGACAGATTGCAAAATAATGTTCTGTGTGTTTGTGTGTATATTCATTTTAAACATCCATTATGGGGCAAAAGGGCCCGTGCAGTAAATTGCAGTGAACCCATATTCTCATTCTTCCGGGTCTGCCAGTGAGCTGTGGCTTACCTAAAAACTCCCAGAATAGCAACTCTACTCCTGCTCATCTGTTTTGTGTAAGAAATCGACCACAAAGATCTCCATCACGCCCCCTTTCTCCCACCCTCCTAGCACCGCTGTGTCGCCGTGAACCCCTGAAACAGATATGGTACTGCAGCGAGTTCATGGGCAGTTTGCTGGCCTCACCAAAACAATAGTTGTGCTCCTCGCCTGAGGCAGTTAATGTTTCTCAACATTTCTGTTTCCCAGCATTCTGCTTATATGTAGTAGCTGCTAAAAGCTGTGGTTAAAGAATGGAAGAGGGAGAAATGTAATTTTTGTTTATGCAAAGCAAGGAATTAATGCTCTGTTACCCTCAACTGGCACAGGAGAGCAACCGGGATTCAAGGGAAATATGTTGGTTTTACTCAGCTTTTGCAGAACAGACACAAAAAGAAAACCAGAACAGATCAGGCACTGACTAAAACCAGACGGGTCTAACAGAGGGGCCCGTCCTGTAACCTAGTCGATTTTCAAATATATTCTCTGAGTCTGAGTTGATCAAAAGGCATTACAAAACCCAAACAGCAAAACAAAGCAGAGTGCCGCTAAGAGCCGATCCATGTTGTGGGCAGATGTGTGAGAGGGCTGAGCAAGAGAAAGTGAACAAGCCTGCATGCCAGCTTGGGTGTCCCTGATCATTTGTGTGTCTAAAGAGGAAAATAAATGAATGGCAGCTCAATCAATGCATAGAGTTAGTCTCTCTCTCTGCTGTTGGGCAAAAAAACTACTGATGTATTTGTGTGAAATAACATTTGAACATTCTTGACATATCTATTTCAGCATACCTCAGATGAGGAAATCTTTTTCAGTAAATTTACTATCGTTTAAAATTGGAAGGGTATCTGACATCTGAACTGGTCTTCATCCATCCTTATTCTGCTCTTAGGATAAAAGAAGTGCTAAAAATTATTTGCAACGGTGATTTGTATCCCGCTGCCTTGGTGGGAAGATCAAAAGACAAGGAGGAGGTAAGATGTGTGAGGAAAAAAGGTTAAAGGCTGCCGGAGTATCTGAGGATGGAAATAAAAGAGTAGCACCGAGCAGAGGAGAAGATCTGGATGATAGTTTGTGATTGCTGGCAGCGAGCGAAAGGAAGAAAAGCAGCTGGGAAAGCTCTAAAAAGCTGCACATCATTGTAAAATATGAGGATAGAGCGGAAGGCTGATAACCTCCAATTGATATAATTTATTACAGTGCTCTCAAGGATCGGGCAAACACCAAAGCTGGTGAGTGTGTGAGGCTCTTGCACAAGATCCCACTCAGCTCTGCCATGCATGACTTCATAGCAGATGTTTAGCTGCTGCGAGTGCACGTCCACCTGGCCCTCACAAACAGCCAAAATAAGTCTGTTTACCTAAAAAAGCCAAATGTACAGATGCTTGAAAGTGGACGCAGATAAATCTTTCAGTGTCTGGGTTTCAGGAGAGCCGGGGCTTGTTGCCCCATACAGATCATACAGTTAGTTCTGGCCAGGGCTCCATAGGAATCTCCCACTACCGTATTTGCAAAAAAAGCTTTTTGGGTGACAATTTTAATGAAAATTGTGTCGGGACCAAGACATACCCAAGACCGGAGTGCTCCGAGACTGAGACAAGACCAAGACATCTAGGGATCGAGACCGAGTCAAGACCAAGTCCAAGGCAGGGCAAGACCAAGACGAGACCAAGATCAAAAATATCACCAAAAATCCTCATCTTGCATGCACAGGGTGTGTCACTCACTTAGAGTAAAACACCGGGAGGGTTGCGGCCATAACCGGTAGATAAAAATCAAATTATGAATAAATTGAAGGTATTCGTTCTTTTAGAAAGGGGTAATTTCCTTCAAATCATTATAAAAACGTGGAAAAATAGCCTTTCAGTGGTGGTCCTAACCAGTCTTGATTTAAAATTCAGAGTCAACCCAGTCCGAGACCGGGACAAGACAGAGTAGAAATGTGACAGATTCCGAGACAAGACCAAGATCTTCAAAGTACAAGACCAATTTTGAGTACTACAACACGATGAAGATCAGTCTTTACTGTGTGGCGTGTGACCCAGGAGTAACCTGGCTGTCGTGCTTTGCAGTAAATTGTTATCAACATTAACAAACGCTGCCAGACTGGATTGTAGTTAAAACAGCTCCTTTGTCAATCTCTTCAGTGCAACAATGTGAATAGAAGACCATAACCACAGAAATCTTTATGAAAACACAACTTGCAGTGACTTAAAAACTTGACTTTCGTCAGCTTTTGCAGCACAGAGACACCCACAGAACAGTAAAAGAAAAACTCCATTTAGATGGCTCTGACATTGTGAATTAATCACTTACATCTAGGGAACTGCGGCAATCTTTTCAACAACCAATTGCGCCAATTTGCTACATCTGCATATCTGCAGGATTTACTGGGGGACTTGCCAATGCGCATTAAACAACTGGTAATGTGTTGAATGTTTCCCAGCCCCTTAAAACTAGACGTGAACGGGGCGCTCGTGGCACAGTGGTTAGTGCCAAATGTAAGGCGAAGGTTCTTGTCATAACTTGTTCAACACTGACATCTAGTGGTCAAAGTGTTCACCTGTTTGAAAGAAACCTACCTGTTGTTCAGAATATAACTTGGTGTTTTTCCTCTGTCCTCAGGGTTTTCCCGGTCGAGATGGCCTTGAGGTGAGTGTACTTAAAAAGTCTACCACAAGCAATCTTATTATAAATTATGAAGTATTTTTTTTCAAGCTGTGGGGAGGATTTTTCTGGCTTTTGAAAATAATTGCAACCAATATTTTTCTTCCTCAGGGGTCACAAGGATTACCAGGAAAGCCGGTAAGATAAATAATAAAGTAACCACCCTGACTCAACGTAGTTTTCTAAATTTTCCTTAAGCTATCTTGTCCTATTCAAAGTAACATGTGACCAAAAGTTTGTCATTTTGATGTTGACTGACATTATGATCTGACAGGGAGAAGATGGTGAACCAGGCTACCCAGGACCACAGGGCCCTCCAGGAATAAAGGTAAAAATAGCTCTCCAGTTCTTCGTATCTTCATCCTAATTATTTCATTTCTTCCTCTTTTCATGAGTTTCTTGAATGTGTATTGAAATAGGGCGAGCAAGGTACAGGGGGAAAAGGAGAGAGAGGCATGGATGGACTCCCAGGACTAAAGGTAGAAGACCACATTTAAATTTGGAAAACAACATGCACAAAATGATTTGTAATTTCCTTATTTTTTTAAATGTTCAGGCATTTGAAAAAAAAGTTTTCCTCTGTATTGTCTGTGGAAGTTTTACCATCACATGTTATATCTGTGTACGTTACAGGGAGACAAAGGGGAGATAGGAGATCAAGGACTGCAGGGACCCATGGTGTGTAAATAACCCAATATGAGAGCACTCCAAAGTCTTTGGTTCATATACATAAAATATTCATAATTAAATTATCGTTGAAATTGTATTATTTATTTTCTGCCACAGGGTTATCCTGGTGAAAAAGGTTCCTCAGACATCATTGACTTTAACGGGAAGCTTCTAGATGCGATCCAGGTGAGTGACAATAAAGTTTGAATAAGATCAGATATATGGATGTGTCATATATATTTGATCAAGGATTAATAACTGAATTCTAAAGTCAGACATCAAGCCAAACTTGAAACTACGAAACTGAACTGGTCACCATATTTTTCCTAACAGGCAATCAACAGCATCAGCGTTTCGGTAATCTGCTGTTGTATCTGCATGGTTTTGGTGGTGTGATCAGTAACTAACATGTACAATAATGCAGACGACACAGACCTGCATAAGCACACACCCTGGGCGTATCCACACCTTGCTTTTGCTTGTGGATGTGTGTGTATTTCTTGATGTATTAGATGTCAGTCTACAGCCCACATTTAAGAGATTTTCTGAATTTCCCTGGTTCAGACTCACTTTGGTATTCATTTGGGATGAAACGGACAGCAAATAAAATCCAGCTGTGCTGCTCTATCAGATAACACAAAGCCTTAAGAAACATGCTTAATCATGCAGAAAAATCAGCAGCCTTTGTTTTATTGGCCGGAGTGTGTTTTCATGCCATGTTTCAAATTTGCCTCACAAAATACAAGCCTGTAACTCACTATAGGGCAGCATGGTGTTTTTGTATTGTTGCACATAACTAAATGAGTGCAAAATGGGGATGCATGAACAAGATGGCAGGGACCCCTCGCACCGTCGCCACAGTTTCAGGTTCATATTCCCCTCTTTATACACGGACCCTTTGATTCTTCCATGTGCCATTCTACATGCTAATAACAGATGGCTATCTCTGCAGTGGAGGGTGTTTTTGATTAAAAACCACTATGTATGCTATCTGAAATGGGCTCCCCATGCAAGGCCGTAGACAGCAGCGTGAGACAGTTCCAAAGAAGTTGGTGAAAACATGAACCTGAGATTTTATCAGAAGTCTCATGCCAGCATGGATTAGTTGGCACTGAATCACACGCAAGCTGTGGGTTTGAGTTTTATCTATGCAGCAGGTAATGCTCATCACCCAGCCTGTGTTAAGATGCGTTCACTTGTTTGTGTTAAAAACTCTTATTAGTTTTATTTCAGTTGAAGAAGGAGGCTGAAATTACTCATTTTTTTACGGGTAATTTCCGTCATTTTACAACATTTTGTATAATTATGTGCATGAGTAACCATCACTTTCCAATGATGGAATATCTCACATCAAACGGCTGTTCGTAAACATCTTGTGGTTTCCATGGTTTTAAATGGGAGAACAAACAAAGTGGTAGAAATTGGAAAAGGGGAGAGGATCAGCATGTTCACCTCTGGGAGGTAACATGGGTTCCTTTTTTTATTGCTTCAAGATGGCCGAGACTTCAGAGGTAGAAGAAACAAGTGTAACATTGTGGATGTAGAGGTTAAGGAGTTTGATTTAAGACGCTGTCATTCTTCAGCCAGCATGGACGGCAGCATGGGATGGATTTAGTATGCCACAAAGTTGCATGAATGTTTGGCTCCTCCTCGATTTGTGCAGCCGTCTCATCCTCTGTGCCAGACTATTGTGTTGTAAGGACCTCAAACAGCACAATAATTGTAAGGTAAAATTACTTCAAGTTGCATGTAATCAGCAAACAGAATGAACGATGGAGCTATGTTTACTGTCAGCCCTGCTCTGTGAAATCCATCAGTCTTGTTGTTTCCTTTTGGGTTGGCCCATCTTCAAGCCTCCTCTGTGAGATTCCAGTTTTTTTCCATGATTGTGATAAACAGAATCAACAGCCATGTTTATCCAAGATGTCTCTGTGACCGTGTGAAAATTGCAGATGTATTCAAAGCAGTTTAAATCAGTGTTTTTAGTTTAATACTTGATTTTATGACCGCTTGTATGGAAAAGGGTTCGTTCGCATCACCGAACTCCCCATGAATAGTCTCCCTCACTGTCTAAGTTCATTCTTTACAGTTTCTTACAGGCTATCATTTTGGGCCAATAAAGCAGAAAAAAATTCTGAAAAGCCACTGTGAGCTTTCTGCTTTTCAAATGATGGAGCTAAAAAGCCAGATATCCAGATACCATAAGCTGGACGCAAACAAGACTTGAAAAGGATCATAATGTTACTCTATGCTGCTTGATGTGCAAATCTTCGTATCTAGGCGATGATGTACCGGTGATGTGTCATATAGTGTTTATACTGCTCCAAGTGGACAAAATCAGCTATTGCAGTGCAAGATGAATTCACTGTTAAACATTATGAGATTAGACAGTACATAGACTTAGGTAGGCATTTGTATAAATCATTTTCTGTTGCTCTCTCTTTTTAGGGCCAACCAGGACCACCTGGACCCCAGGCCGCCCAGGGGAGAAGGTAAGGGGGTCTCTTATTGCTAATGTACTGCCAACACCAACTAACAGGGTGACTTAAAAACTAAGTAGATGTAAAATCATAATTGAGTGATTCTTTTCCTCTCTTCCAGGGCGAGCTTGGTTTACCTGGGCCAGCAGGAGTTGATGGGGAGAATGTACGATTAGAAAGCCTGATGAAATGTCCAATACTATTGCTTTATTTATGTGTAGTTCTTTTATTCCACTATACCTTTAAATGCAGAAAATAACCTCTCTTTTCAATTCTTTAACCCCAGGGACCTAAAGGGGACATGGGTGAGGCCGGACCACCTGGCGAGAGGGCAGAGAAGGGGGAGATGGGGCTCTCTGGGCCTGCTGTAAGTTGAGACAGTAAACAAGTTTCTCTGATATACAAACAGTAGAGAAGTGAATAAATAGCTGGGAGTTAACGCTTTTCTCTCTGTTGGTAAGGGTGTGGACGGACATAAAGGAGAGAAAGGCGACTGCAGAATGGAAGACAACCTGGTCAGTGTGATGCACAAACTTCATTCAACATTTGCTCATGTGAATCATTGCAGACAAAAACCTTAAAAGCCATGTCAGCAATTTCTTATGTTTGAGCCTTCATTGTAGATTTTTTAAACCCTTTTTTTTTTTTTTTTTGCATGTAACAGCCAGATTCCCACAGTTTTCCATTTGGTATGGGTGTGAGTTGCAAACATTGGACGCATTAATTGTCTTAGTTTGGGTTTTGTATTGAGGCAATGCAGACATTAAAAATAAATCTGAATTTTAAATACATTAAACAGTGAAAATGTGAACAGTCTTTGTTCCAGTTATTTGGTTTTAAACTGGAATGATATATGATATAAAAAGTATCCAGAAAAAGCTTTCAGTCCCTGCTTGACTCTTGTTATTTCCATGATGCTCAGGTTCAGATGATTTCCCAGCCAGGCCCACCCGGCCCGCCCGGCCCACCTGGAGTACCTGGGTCCCCTGGATCCATGGTGAGTCCTTCTTTCACAATCGACATCCTGACAGAAACCTTTCAAATTAACTAAAATCTTTACAACTGCAGCTTTCACACTCATTGTGCACAATGTATTTCAGGGGCTACATGGGATGCCTGGTCCAAAGGTAAGACTGCAGTGCATTACAGAATGAGTTGGAGGTTATGACATGTTGTTTGGGTGCTCAGGGTTCATGTGTTCTTGTGCAGGGTGAGCCTGGATACGGGATGAGAGGAGACAAAGGAGAGACTGGCGCTCCTGGACCCAAAGTGAGTAACATGAACCCTTCATTATTGTTATAAAACATGTTAAATGTGCACAGTGATAATAATGTACTTTCACTTCAGGGATTAGACGGCCTAAAGGGCTCTTCCGGGTTAGTGGGTCTTCCAGGTGCAAAGGGAGAAAAGGTAAGCTCCTCATCTCCTCACTCACATGTTTACTACATCTTTGGAATAAAACAGACACCCTGATTTATGCGCATGGATTTGTGTTTGCAGGGCAGACCAGGGGAGCCTGGACTAGATGTGAGTTTATTAGCTCTTCATGTGGTTAAAATGATTTGGAATTTAGATTCATTTTCAAACCATATTCAGTGGTCAGCTTCTTTCTGACCAGCTTGTGATTTTATGTCCAGGGTTTCCCGGGTCTTATGGGGGATAAAGGTGACCGAGGAGAACGAGGGGACAAGGTTGGTGCTTAGCATAGTAAAAAAAAAATGTAATTAATCCAATAAGATATCTTTAATCTGCTCTTTAAACAAAGCTCTCTTTAGACTTTCCAGTGGTTGTTATGCACACAGATGTTTGTTTTGTCTCGTCTCTATTCAGTAAGAACCATTTAATAATTGTTTGTGTGCCGTCCTCTTTGTGGTTAGGGTGACAGGGGAGGAGTGGGAAAAAGAGGTCTGAAGGGCCAGAAAGGAGAGCAGGGTCCTCCAGGACTAGACCAACCCTGTCCTGTGGTATGTCAGCCACAGCTACACACACACACACACACACACACACACACACACACACACACACACACACACAACACATTTGAACACACACAGAGTAAAATACTAAGTAAGTTAGAACTGATTTTCTTCTTAACTTTCCTGTCACCTTTTGACCACCTGTTATTCCCCTGCTCTCTGCTCTCTGCTCTCTGTCTTTTTCTCTGTTTTCCTCCCTTGTGCTGTGAATGTGTAACTGGTTGTTGCTACAGGGTTGTGATGAGACTAAAGGTCTGTCTGAGAAGGCAGGGCTTTCTTCCCCTCCACCTCCTCCTATTCCTCCTTCTGGCCGTGAGGCCCCCTGTCCTGTGGTAGAGTATTTCTTCCTCCTTCCTCTTCCTCTTTTATCACTATTTATGCATGTATGTATTACTTCACTCTCATACGACCGATGGCTACACAAATTGAAACACCATTAACAGGCAGAAACAATGGCCCTGGCGGTCTGACCTCTAACCTCTCTAATCTATGGTCTCAAAAAAAAACACAGGTTTTATTTTCTTACCTTTTTGTGTAAGGATTTAAGTTTCTAGGCTTTATGTTAAGCTAAGCTAACTGAATGCTGGCTATAGACTTATTTTAAACTGTATCTGTTTGAGTTTTCTGTTCTACTGCAGATGTTGTCTTTGATATTGTGTCATTTGGATTGTAATAATAATAATAATAATAATAAATTAGATTTATATAGCGCTTTTCTAAATACTCAAAGACGCTTTGACAGGTAACAACAATTATTTTAAATGTGTCTGATTTATAAGTCTGATTATAATTCAGTATGATTGTAGTGTTGATGTTGTCCGTGTATAGTTTCATTATGTTTGCTCCTGCTGCTAAACAAATTCCCCCTTGTGGGACAATGAAGGGAATCTCATTCTGAATCAGAACAAATTAAAGGGTTAGTATCAATCTTATCATCTTAACAAATAAAACATTCTTAGAATGACCGTAATGATGTTAGGAGTCCCATAACAAAGAATCACATTAGAAGAGCATTACCTGGAAGGTTTTTTTTTTTTAACCCTTCTTGCTTTCTCTGTTTGGTTTGGATTTTATTCTTCATTACCCTCTTCATTACATCTCTACCTTTGCTTTTTTTCATTTGCTGGTAGGGATTGCGCATCATTATTACATCTGTCACTAAAATCCAAGTCACCAGGATGAGGAGTTGTATGTTTGTTTGAGCATGCATCACATTGCATTTCCTTGTTATTAACTTTCTGCTGCTGTTCTCGGTCTGCAGGGACAGGATGGGCTGCCCATACCTGGCTGCTGGCACAAGGTGAGAAGTGTTCTTTCTTTTCTAAGCACAATCGTAACTAATGCAATAATTGTGAATATGAGACAGTCATGGAATCATGATTTTTTAAAATCTGAAATGAAAGAATTTACTGAACTCATGGCTTAGCGTTGAAGGAATTTTTCGACTTTGATATAAAACAGTGTCAATTTGTAGATATGTTACAGAGTGTGAGCTTGTAAATGTAAGGCGTGTGTATTTTAAGATAATGTGCTGATGTTTTACTTGATATGCTACTAAAAATGCATCTGTACTCTTCTTTGTTTTGCAGTGATGACTAACCAGCAGCATGGAATCTGTACATATTGATAGGGTATATATTGCAATTGAATACTACACCAACAACCAGCTCCCTTTTTCCCCCCAATTTTCATAAAACTTTTTATATAATATATTGAGATTTTTTTTAACATGGACATTTTTGAGTCGACAGTATTACCAAAAAAAATCATCTGAAGAGAGCCAGTGTTGTGGTGAAGGCAGCCAAGGTTTTGAGGAGAAACAAACTGAACTGGCAGTGGGACTCTTACTTTGAAGGACAGTCCAGATTACATTGTTGTAGTGCCTTGACTGTCTAGCTGCCTTACTAACAAAGCCTGACTCACTGCCTGATTGTAATCATAAACGCTGTTTGGATACGACAGTGTGTGCAGTCTCACAGGTGGATGGATGCTTTGGTGGATGGACAGATCTCTTGTTGCTGTTGAGAGGTGTGGGTCAGTGCTCTCTTCTCCTCTCTTTCTGTTTTCTAAAAAAAAAGGAGGAAATGGCGAGGCAGAAGCTCAAACGGAAGCGTCTCTCTCAGCCCTGAAGGGATGCGTGGTTCTGATGGAGAAAGGACTTATTAAAAAAGCAGAGAGTACGGGGAGGCAGATTGGCCTTCTTGAAGCAGAGCGGGCTATGTTCTGCCCTGGTGTCATACTGAACACTCAGATCCTGTGGTATTGAAACTCTCCAGGAGGGGGCGACAGAGAACACTGCATTTCCACGTTAACCTGAGAAGAGGCGACACAACTGTGGCTAAGACAAGGTTATATGGGAGTCACTGACGTCACTGGCACATAAAGAAGGATTTACTGCACGGAACATGTAGTGGTGATCTCTTGTAAGGCTCTTTTGTTAAGTTTTTGACTAAGTAATGCATGATCATAACAAGGCACTGTGTTATTTAGCATCCAGACAGCTTGTATGACTTGTGGTCTGTCTTTGAAACTCTAAATGACATTTCATTTACAACACGTATTCATTACCAGTCTTTCTATTTGAACAAGCCACTCAGAAAAGCCAGTAAGTCTACCTGTGTATGGCTCACATTTGTGGCAGTTGTGACTTGTACTGTTTGTTTCATTTTGATATTTTAGTAGCGACTTTTGTCCAGGTACATTTTGCATTCCTGTGCATAGCTTTGAAGGAACCATTTACAGTATTCATGATTGTTACAGTTGCCTTGACAAATAACTGCATATCAGTGTAGTTTCTTTATTCATTTTCAGTGTAACTGAAGCTTTTTGAATGATCTTTATTCTTTAATCACTGATGAAAATGTGTTTTATTGCTGTTTCCTGATTCTCTGGACAACAGTGTGACTTCTTGCTGCTGACGTAAATGTGTGTTTGTTTGATATTTTTGAATCGATAGTCATTTGGACTGAAGGACTAACAGGCTAAAGAATGAAATTTGAATCAATTGTCAACACAATTGTTGTTTTTTTTCATAGGTTAATAACTCATTTATTCAGTGATTTAACTTTACACAATGGTTTGAACTGTCAGTTATGATGCATTTTGTGTTTGTGCTTTTTTATTATCGCATTTCAGTCATTTCGATCAGATAAATACTATAGGTCTGTTTCAGTCACTTATTTTTCTCAGATGGGATAATATCTTGGTGCTTAAATACTTTTAATACTTGTAATGTATCTGCATGGATCTACTTGCATAGTGATATGCAACATCAGACACATGTCCACAGATACAAGCACGTCATTTTTTTTAAAGAACTACTAAATGAACAGATTTCTACTTTCAAACATTCAGCTTTATGTCTAGAACACAGTGAAAAACAATACCCATAAATAAAAAATTGGTTATTTATGGACTTCTGTTTATTCTCCTTTGACATTTGTAGTCATTTTATACAAATACATTACAATTACCATTTCTATTACATTTAGAAATGAACTCGTTCAATATCACTTCAGGTTTATACAACACATGACTGACAAGAAATTGTTTGCAACATTTTAATTGTCTGCCTGCATATTATTAAACATGTAAAAATGTTTGTTTTTCTTCACCCTCAACATACACTCTTTGGAGCATTTGAAATTTCAAACAGGGTCAGTATTGTTGGAGGGATTTTTTTTTTAAGTCGGACTTCAAGTCAGACACAATGCTCAAATTTTCAGAGGAACACTATTGACGTGATTGAAATTGAAAAAAAATGTCAAGGGTTAATGTGTTGTAAGAATGACGGTGTTGGTTTGAAATGAGGAACATTGGTAACTCTAAATTCCTCTTTTAATTAAATATATCTTCTAGCTGACCTGTTAACTGGCTGACTTTAACCTGCAACAATCAGAGTAGCTCAAAAACTACAATGAGTTACGTATAAACTCTTAAAAACTTTATACAAATATCACAAAGTTGAATAACTGACATCACACAAAGAATTTCCATACCGAGTGAGATAAATATAATGTGAAATCTCACTAACTGTTTTATTAAAGTTTTTTTTTTTCAAAAAATTAAACTACATCACATCCCTCATTTTTGTGTTTATAGATATTCTTAAATTGCTCACTTTAAACACAAACTGCGTACCATTAAGCTACAAAAGAAGATCTTAGAAATGATATGAATGAAAATTATTTTTCTGTAGCCTAATAGACACTGTTTTACGCTTTATTTCACTGAGAGCTGATGGCTATCTGACACTTAACATTATTACATGTGGTTATTTCTTTTCCAGATTCCATCAGTTACAGTTTTAACAGCTAAATGGAGACCGTAAATGTCTCTTTGTCAAATTACAGTTTGTTATTTTGGCAAGTCATATATAACAGTATTAGCTTGGCTTACGAGAATGTTGTTTTTTCGGTTGTGTATTTGGTTGTAAAAGAATTAAGCTATTTTTCTAATTGTCTAAAAATGTATAACATGAAATCTGGTCATCTAAACATGTGGAATGAAATAAACTCCAGTTTTGTTGTTGTCCATTAAATCATAATCATGTAAAGTTATTCAGTTTCATTCTTTGACCACTTATAATACCTCTTATTGTATGTGCCTTATTTTTCAAATAAGTGGAATTAATTTGTTCAAAGAGAGAGAAAAGCAAATGAATTAAATGAATCAGACACATATCATAAACAGGTCTGGCCATGTAAGACCAATATACACATGTTCTTTGACAGACATGTAGAAAAAGCAGAGGCCAATACACAGTAAAGGAACGAACCATATAGAAGAAAATTGTTCTGTAATGTACAAGTTCAATGAGTTCACTTAATGATACATGTGAAAAAGCAGCTTTTCATTTAAAAGGTTAAAAGTAAGTATCGTGTATATTCTGTTCACTTGCTTAAATAACACTGCAGATCGGGTTTAATAAATTAACCCAAATACTAAGAATCAACAGCAATAGCCCTGCCAGGTTCAACATCTTAGCTTAGCATGTAGGTGTGTACTTTTGGGAAGTCCAAAAGCTATAAAATCCGCTGTCTAGCCACCATCGATATTGGTACCAAATGTTTTCCCAATCCTTCCAGTGCACCTTGTAAATTCTCACTAAAAGTCAAAACTATTATCCTGCCAGACAGAAAATCAGGGAATAATTGAAATCAATGGATATGTTTATGCTCAGGGGGCCACAGATGTTAAGTCTCTGCCACCTTCTGTTGCTGTGGGACTCTGACATACAACAAAATATAAAAAGAAAAGCATTTCAACACCTTCACTCTGAACAATACAACAGCTGAAAGTTTCTTCGCCTACAAGTGTTGATGGAGGTATCTTTGTTTGGTTAGGAAACCTGACTCCAAAGAGCAAAAAAAGGACCGATATAAGTCTGTTATCCTTTCAGCCAATGATGTATGTTCTAAATTATACTAATTTCAGCAAACAAATACAGAAAAAAATTCACAAATGGTTCTTATATAACCTC